TGGCACCGCCAAGGGCGAATTCAGCTGACAGTGTCTTAACCACTAACCAACCAGAACCAAGAGAGGAAAGGAAGACATGAATCAATGAATACCTACATAGCACAACACCACAGGCCTTATCGGGGGGATGCAATTACAGCATAAACCCAACAACAACCCTCTAGCAGGAAATGTCAAACCTTATCACTGTATTGACCGTGCAAAAATGTGTGAGTTGAATTAATCAATAGGCTCCAAATTAGCAGTAGCCGTGTTTCATTTATACAGTATTGCTCTTCATATCTGCACAACCTGAAATACATGAGACTTTTACGTATATGTCTGGGTTTCCTAATAGCTGCTGTCACAACATTACACAGTGGGATTTACATTTTTCTTTATCACTTGCGAGATTTGCAGTGTTCTTGCAGAAAAGGGTTATGGGCAATTTTGCAGTATAAGGGTTTGACTTCTGCAAATTGCTGTGTTTTCTCCCATTTTCCCCTAATATGATTTGCTCACAAATCAGCTTTGTGAGGATCCAGTAGCATTGTGTCAATTAGGCTGGGATACAGTAAGTTGATGCACATTGAGGCTAACAGTGTTAGTGTAAGTGTTAATGTTAGTGTTACTGTTAGTGACAGATGCTTTAAATAAAGAGAAATTAATGAGCAGGTCTTAGTCCTTGATTCCTCGGTCCTCCGGCTAATGTGTCCAGTGCTTGTTTTTGGTATAATTTCAGATCATGCACAAAGTCAGAGTATGAATGATATTTCAGACACGCCCAGCACAGACCAGGTAAGGTAACACAGATTTGTTTGATTGACATTTTCCCACTCCTGTCCCAGCTGTGTGTGTGTGTGTGTGTGTATGTGTGTGTATGTGTGTGTGCATTGAAATGAATGAGCGGTCCCCATAAGGATATGTATACCCTACATGTGCGTGTGTGTGTGTGTGTGTGTATGTGTGTGTGTGTGTTTCATGGTCAGGCTCGGAATGTGGCAGGGGTCAGTAGGGGGGCAATGGAATTACGTCGGCCAGAACTGAGGGAGTAGCTAATCCTCTCACAAGTGAGTTGGCCACCAACCTACTGAAAGCACATTAAGCCTGTTTTTTTTTAAATTCAGGTCATTGCGACTTAAAGGAAAAGCCCAGGAAACTGAGGGGTTTGTCAGTAAAGGAGACCTAACACAGCAGGCCAGTCAGGTCTTTACAGATGCCAGGGTCATTCTGACAACAATCAATGGCAGGCTTCTATTTTGAGGAGTTGAGGTGGGGCGTGTAAGTCAGTTCATACCCTTGGAAACAAAAGCACCCCTGTTTCTGAGCTTATCACCCCCCCCACACACACACACGTAACCCCCCCCTTTGTTTGGGGGGTGTAGTTTAAAGGTTTCCCCCCCCCCCCCCCCCCCCCCCCCCAT